ACGTTCGCGCCCAAACGTTCGCGCCCAAACGTTCGCGCCCAAACGTTCGCGCATTTGGATTTAGAGAGTAAATATGAAAGGAAGACAATGTTAAGATTCCAGAATATAAAGATCATGTAACAGACCTCGTGGTACCTATTGAATCAATAAATGAAAAGTAAGAAATTTGTTTAATGGGCAATATTTGAAGGAGAAATCTTTTGGTACTGTCGGATAACTAGTTGCCCACCAGTGCAATATGTAGTAAAAGCAATTTTTGAAGATCAACAATATTTTGAATATCCAATCCAATTCTACAGACGAATAGGAAATTACAGCGAATTTGTGAATGTACTTATCCGAAGACGTATTTAATGTTGTACGCGCGTATTGATTGCAATGGAAGTTGAATTACTTAGTTGCAGTGCATTTCGATTCTACGAATAGCTGGATCCTCGTGTACGGCGTGAACCAGCGTGTACGGCGTGAACCAGCGTGTACGGCGCGTAAACGTCGCGTGTATATCTCTCTCACACACACACACACACACACACACACACACACACACACACACACACACACACACACACACACGAGATAAACAGAAAGGAACATATTTTCTTTCGCCCAGACATAAGTAATACCGAGATTTTTTTTCGGATATTTAATGATCCTTATGCGAAGGTGTGCTATCGGTCTTAATAGTGTCGTTTTCTAAATCGTCCCTTATGACACAGAAATACGTATAGCAGTGCTTCGGCCCAGTTTATTCCAAATCTCTCCCGCAAAGCAATTTGCGGAACGGTTGTACTACTGTCGCATGTAATGGTTCTCCTTAGTCGTTGGTCCCGTGTTTGCACGATCTTTTTGCAGCCGCAGCGACGCCGGAGGTGTGATGTTTTACTGGATTCCCGATATTGACGGTACACTCGAGAAATGGTCGAACGGGAAAATCTAAATTTCATCGCGACATCGGAAATGCTATGCCCCATCTCCCTTGCGCCGGCCCCAACACCACGTTCACTCATTTAAATCGTGATAACCTGCCATTGTGGCAGAAGTAACCGGTCTAACAACCGTGCCAGACTGATTATCTTATATAGTCGTTATTGAACAGAGCGCCTTATTTTGATTGCTTCCAGATCTCTCATTTTCAATACGCATGGTGGTAAAGAATGTTTTTGGCTTTTCATTGTATTTTCTCTGTACACTATAAATTTTTAGTTCACAAAAGCCGCAACTTAAAGTACAAATTTAAGTGAAACAGGATGTGTGACATCAGTTCACCACTACCGAAAGTTCACCATATCTAGGGTTGACTATACTTGTGAGAAATACGTGCTTGTCAAATAAGGCCAGGAGAACGGATACGTGAAAAAATTGTCGCTAAACAAAGGAAATGTTTTAGAAAATTACGATGTTGATGTAGATATAATCTTTATTATACAATTGGACAAAATGCTGAAACATGAGTACAAATACAATTACGAATAAAAACAATATATAACAAATTATCTTTGTCATTACTTAGCACATGCAGATGTCATTTACATACACACCCAACTGAAAACACACATAGATAAACCATATTACACAAGTATACATACATAGGGACGCTTTAAGGACTCTCGCATACACACAACCCTGCACTTATGCGCTCTCACTTTCAGGCAAAAATGGATGAACATTTTTACATAACACAATATAATATGATACTTATAATAATTAGTACGTTTCTTACACGTAAACAGTTATTAACATAAATCAATACGTACTAACGTATGTCAGAATAGCCTAAACGTTTTAAATTAGAGAAACAAAGCGCTCAATTCTCCTTAACTGTAGACTTCCTTAATCGCACTTTCCACTTTTCTTCAGTTCACTTCCACTACGCATTTCAACTTGATGACTAATTTCATATATTTTTTTTTTTCTAAAAAGGCGCTGAGGAAAGGGCTCAAAAACGTTCGAATCTACTATTGTTTACGAAGGGAAATTTGCATGTATCCTATACGCGGTTTATGTTGTTTTCGAATTCCATTTTTAAGAGATCTCACGACGAAATGCTAAGACTTCCAAATTTTACCCACTTCACTTATTCATATATTACTTCCCACGTTCACCACACAGTTTGTACTTTAATCAACTGTTTCGGTTTAACAAACTTGATCGCAGGATCAATATGGCCCCTAAAAGTGGAAGAACCATAATAAAATAATCGCAGTGTGGTGGGGTAGTGTGGGTATTTCTCTCTCCCCCCTTAGTCGCTCCCATATTCAATACCCTATCACTCATGTTGAGGAAACAGTTGGAAGCTCAAATCACGTCCCTCCTGAGGCCGTGGTCTGCTGCGAGAGAGAGCTTCAGAGGGAAGTCACCCTCGAGTTGGCGTGTTGGTCGCCAGATGTCTCCATCTGACAGGGACAACACCACGATCAGCCGGAGGAGTTGAAGCGCAAACAAAACCTCAACGACGGAGTGTGGCCAATCTAACGTGTTGTGGGCTTGTGTGTGCGTCTGCAGGCGAACGAGAACGGCCGAACGGCGCTCCACGAGGCGGCGTTGGTGAACGACACGTTGAGCGCGGCGCTGCTGCTGCGGGCGGGCGCAGCCGCGGACCAGCCAGACGTCAACGGCCACACTGCCCTCCACATGGCCGCGATAGCGAACGCCTTCAGTTTTACCACCGTGCTGCTGGCGGCCGGCGCAGACCCGGCCTGCGCTGATCACAACGGATTAACGCCAGCTCAAATGGCCGAAGACGAGGCCCTGTGCACCCAGATCACCCTCGCGCACCAAGCGCGCGCCTGTTCAGCAGGAGCAGTGCAGGGGCAGCAGGCGGCTTCGGCGGCGGAGCTGCAGGCTGACCGCGCTACTCTGGCAGATCGGGCTGCACGGGCCGCTCGGGCCGCTCGGTCTGACCGGTCTTATCGGTCTGATCGTTCTGGCAGGTATGATCGTTCTGGTGGGTCTGATCGCTCTGATCGGGGTGATCGATCTGGCGGGTCTGATCAGGGTGATAGGACTGATCGACCTGGCGGGTCTGATCGGGATGATAGGACTGATCGACCTGGCGGGGTCCTGATCAGGGTGATCGGTACGGATCGATCTGGCCGGTCTGAGTCGGGGGTGATCGGATGATCGGATCCGGAGAGTCCGATGCAGGGGCTGATGCGGACTGATCGATCCGGCGGGTTGATCGGGGTGATCGGACTGATCGATTCCGGCGAGTCTGATCGGGGTGATCGGACTGGATCGCTCCGGCGAATCCGTATCAGGGCTGATCGGACTGATCTGATCTTGGCGAGAGTCTGGACGGGTGATCGACTGGAATGCGATCTGGGGGTCTGAGTCGGGGTGATCGGATGTGGATGGGACTGCGGCCGCGCTACGGGCTTTGCGCGGCGGGCCGTGCGGGCCACGGTGCGGACTGAGGAAAGCAGCGGCAGCTCAGCGGGGTCTGAGTACGGCTGCGGCCACGCTGAGGCTTGCGATGAGCAGTGCGGAAGAAGCTGTTGTGGCGGCACGCAGTACGGATGGCTTAGCTGAGATGGGTTGGAAGAAGTGGTGAGATTGTACCGGGTAAAGAATAAAAAAAACGCGGGGCCCGCCTCTGTGTTCGAGACGGCGCGATCTACAGCCACGTGCGCCGACGGGTTGGAGTAGACGCGCGTCGGTAGCGGCTGCGGGAGGGCGAGGCAGCGGTGGCGAGGCTGGCTTGGGATGGCGCAGTCGAGCGGCAGGGACCGCTAATGTGAGGAGCAAGCTGGCGAGCGAGCGGTCTGGTGAGGTAGGGAGAGATTATTTTTATTTAATCGATGTAATTGGTTCGCGCAATTATTTGCAGTAGTGAGGGAAACATATGAATCACTACATACCCACATATCGTTCATCTCTTTTTCTCTTTCTCTCTTTTCTCTTTCTCTCTTTTCTCTTCATCTCTTTTTCTCTTTCTCTCTTTTTCTCTTTCTCTCTTTTTCTTCTTCTCTCTTTTCTCTTCTCTCTTTTTCTCTTTCTCTCTTTTTCTCTTTCTTCTTTTCCTCTTTCTCTCTTTTTCTCGCTTTCTCCTCTTTTCTCTTTCTCTTTTTCTCTTCTCTTTTTTCTCTTTTCTCTCTTTTTCTTTCTTCTCTTTTTCTCTTTTTCTCTCTTTCTCTCTTTTCTCTTCTCTTCCTTTTTCTCTTTCTCTCGTTTTCTTTTTTTCTTCTCTTTTGCTCTGTTCTCTCTTTTTCTCTTTTTCTCTTTTTCTCTGTTTTCTCTTTCTCTCTTTCTTCTCTCTTTCTCTCTCTTTTCTCTCTTTTTTTCTCTTCGCTTTTTTCCTCTCTTTTCTCTTTTTTCTTCTTTTTCTCTCTTTTTCTCTCTTTTTCTCTCTTTTTCTCTCTTTTTTCTGCTCTTTTCTCTCTTTT